CACAAAGGCCTGGAATTGATTATGTGGAAACATACTCTCCAGTAATGGACGCAATTACGTTCCGTTACTTGATAAGCTTAGCGGTTTCAGAAAAACTTGAAATGAGACTTATGGATGTCATTACCGCATATCTGTATGGAGAGTTGGATACAGACATATACATGAAAGTCCCAGAAGGACTTAAGCTGCCTGAAGCAGCCAGGAATAAACCACGGGCCATGTTCTCAATCAAATTGAGAAGATCATTATATGGGTTAAAACAATCTGGGCGAATGTGGTATAATCGTCTCAGCAAATATTTACTAAAGGAAGGATATACAAATGATCCTATTTGCCCATGTGTGTTTATTAAGAAATCAGGGTCTGGATTTGCGATAGTGGCGGTATATGTCGATGACATGAATTTAATTGGAACTCCTGAAGAGCTCCAAAAGACCGCTGATTATCTCAAACGTGAGTTTGAGATGAAAGACCTTGGAAAGACAAAATATTGTCTTGGCTTACAGATTGAGCACAGTGCTGATGGAATTTTGGTGCATCAATCAAATTATACTGAAAAAGTATTAAAGCGGTTTGGCATGGATAAAGCCCATCCACTTAGCACTCCAATGGTCGTTCGGTCGCTTGACACTAAGAAAGATCCATATCGTCCAAAAGGGGATGATGAAATGGTCCTTGGTCCAGAAGTACCATATCTTAGTGCAATAGGTGCTTTAATGTACTTAGCACAATATACCAGACCTGACATAGCATTTTCAGTAAATTTGTTAGCAAGATACAGCTCTGCTCCAACAAGCCGACATTGGACCGGCGTTAAACATATTCTACGATATCTTCGTGGAACGACAAATATGGGCTTATTCTATTCCAGTGAATTGGCCAATGCTCCAAGTATTGTTGGGTATGCTGATGCAGGATATCTCTCTGATCCACATCAAGGACGCTCACAAACTGGGTATGTGTTTACATGTGGAGGAACTGCAATCTCATGGCGCTCAACAAAGCAAACGTTGGTAGCCACATCTTCCAATCACTCAGAAATACTTGCCCTCCATGAAGCCAGTCGTGAATGCGTTTGGTTAAGGTCAATGATTCGTCACATTCGAAGCACATGTGCCTTGCCCTCAGCAACGGACACTCCAACCACCCTGAATGAGGACAATGTAGCTTGTATTGCTCAAATCACAGGAGGGTACATCAAGGGTGATCGGACCAAGCACATATCACCAAAGTTTTTCTACACGCATGAGCTTCAGAAGAGTCAAGAAATCAAAGTCAGACAAATCCGTTCAAGCGATAACTTGGCAGATCTCTTCACCAAATCTTTAACCAAGTGCACATTCCAGAAGCTAGTGCATGACATTGGATTGCGACAACTCTGCAAGCAATCAAATTGGAGCATGCAAAATCAGGAGAAGCATTCAAGAGTCCTCTAACACAGGACATAAGCGCGTTGTACTCTTTTTCCTTCGACTAGGGTTTTTCCCACTGGGTTTTCCTTAGCAAGGTTTTAACGAGGCAACATGTGCGCATTTCCTATGTCCCAAATAAAGTTGTACTCTTTTTCCTTCACTTAGGTTTTTTCCCACTGGGTTTTTCCAAGTAAGGTTTTAATGAGGCAACCAATTTAGGGACATGTGGTCTCCAAGGGGAAGTGTTGTAAAGTAGAATGGGTGAAGCCCACATGGTCAAAAGGTGAATAGTATTGATGGGTAGAAACATCATTATGTTTCTTCTTTGTTCACGGGGGGTCATTATAAATGCCTATAAATAGGCTCCATCTTAGTTGCAGAAGATACAACCAATTCAGAGAGAAATCTGAGAAAGAGTGAGTAAGAACCCTGAGACCTCTATCAGTAAAGAAAGTTCTAAATACATTTCCACTCCCAATATTCAGTGGTAATTCCCATACTCTGATTATTTATTTTATAACAGCCTTTAGAAATTTTTTGAAAATATCATGTTTCTTTGTTTTTTACAGTGTCCTTTTCAGTAATTTTTGAAAATTTTAAATTGTAATTATTTTCTTTAAAAATCAGTGGCTGGAAATAGCACCACTCGATCAAAATAGAAAAATTTCCCCTTTTTTTCTTTCTCTGTTTTGAATTCAAATTTTGAGTCTTGAAAAATGAAAGAAAAACAAAGGAGAATGCAAAATTAATGATAGGTTTTGGGCAACGTTCATTTAATTTGACGTGGCAAAATTGAACCAGAGGTTCCCTCCTTTTATTTTGATTATGATTATTTTTATTACAAGTTTATGCCGTCGGGCGTAAAAGGAATCCAAAGTGAAAGGGGTCCTCCTCCTCCTCTTCTTCACCACATTAACACTTCAGTCTTCACTACAGAGCCTCCGGATCCGATCCATACCCGCCCTTGCTCGCCGATTAGGGTTTCAGATTCGTCGATTTTCCAACAAATTGATCCGATAGCAGAAGGCCGGAAGATGAAGAAAGGCAACCGTCACTCGAAGCAAATCATTGATGCATCCAACTCCGATAATTCCGAGAAGAGAATTCACCAACTGGAACTCGAAAACAAAGCTTATCAGGTCGCTCTTTTGTTCTTTCTGATTTCATTTTTCTTTGAAGTTTGGAAGCCTGTTTGGATGCCGAGAAAATTTTGAAATTAAAAAAATAAATAAAAGAAACTGGAAGAGCGGGTTTCAGCTTGAATGAGATTGAATTTATGTGAGTTTGTTTGGAGTTAATTTTGTTGATTTGAAGTATGCTTGGCCGGTGAGGAATGTAGTAAAACAGTGAAATTGGGGAAAGTTCACTCGAGTCTGTTTGGTTGATTAGGAAATGTTGCGAAAGAGAAGACATGCAATTGAATTAATCTGATTAGGTCACTTAAAAGTAATGTGAAATTTAAATTTTAAAAATTTAAATTTAATTTTGAGTTTCTTACTTGTGAAAATCTCTTAAATTTCTTCTGATGACAATTAACAGAAGGAGGTTGAGGAGCTGAGATACAAGCTTGCAAATGTTTCATCCACTTCTGGTGATAATAGTGCTCAAAAGCTCAGAGAAGATTACCTTCAAAAGTTGACATTCCTTGAAGATCAGGTGGATTTTTTGTTAGAAGTTGTGACGAGGTGTTTAATAATAGTATTGCATTGCATGTTCTATATCTATAAATCCATTTGTGCAGGTTACAGTGTTGACGAGGAAGCTAGATGCTCAATCGCAACTCTCAACCCAAAGAAGAAGAGGGGACGAGTCAACAAAACAGTTACATTTTGAGATTCAGAGATTGAAGGCTCAGAAGGTGACGTTTTTAAGTTAATGAGGCATGCCTGTATGAAAGATTGTGAACTTTCATGCTTCAGTAGTTAACAAAATTTTGTGCTGTTTAGGTTCAACTGCAATGTAAGATGAAGCTAGAGTCTGTGCAGTTCAGATTGCATAAGGCTTCATTGGAAAAAGAAGTTCTTCAGGTATATGATTTTCAGATCTTGGTATTACATTGATGCTTCTATATTGGTATCTCTTCCTTCTCAAGTTCTCTGAGATATCATGTTTGGCCGTGGTTGGTTGAGGGTTCAGTGTCTTTTCAAGTATTTTTGCATGTAATTGCCCTTTCGTGCTCATTTTTTTTATAAGCCATCTAAGAATGTAGTATTATCAAAATTTTGCATATCTTACGAAAAATAAAAAAAATCTTATAAGTGGTCTTTTAAAAATCTTGATCCAGCAGCATTGCTATAATTAAGTAGATAAAGGGCATGGCATGTCAAGCTATCTTCATCATGTCTATATGTAAAGCTGTGAATGAGCTTTACAATTAGAAATTTTGTAGGTCTTTTATTTTATTCCTGATGAGGTTGCAAATTAAATATTACTTAGCTTAAATAGAAAAGTATTTGGTATGATATTTAAGTTGTGCACTGGGTAGTTTCTGGTATTGGAAATGCATATGAAACTTAGGGCAGTTTGTTTGAAGCATGTCATGTGTACACGAATATTTGTTTGCATTTGATATTGCTGCAAGCCAGCAACTGGAGATGCATTTTGCATTTCCTCTTCTATTGAATAGCACATTCTGGGAACGTCTGAAGTTTGAATACTGGGTAGAATGGGTTGAGATGCATATCCGAGATTAAGATTGTTGGCATTGTATCTTTTGGTATATGGATTTAAGCTACTAACATGCTCTGCTTAGTATATCTGGAAAAGTTTTTTGGTTAGATTATCCCGAATTTATACTATGTCAAGGTATATGAATTTTTTCTGGGTATCTTTATGCATCGACAGCTCAAAAAAGATAGTAGGAAAAATGAACATGAGATGCAGAACCTATTGGACTCCAATCAAAGACTGAAGAAGGTAAATTTATATTTTCTTTAAGACTGAGATACCATAGACATACTACTTGATGGAACGCTCTCTATCTGACAGTTTCAACTTGTGTTAAAATAATTCTCTGAGTTTCATTCTTCTGCCTCAGGTTTTGCATCGAAAGAATGTGGAAGCTTTCATGGCCACTAAACGGCTTAGGCAGCTGTTAGAATCTCGCAAGGCTTTGTTGCACAAAAAAGATGGTCAGAAACCTACCGCTTGAGTTAGCTTACATTTCTGTTGCTGCAATTGTATAATAGTTAACTTTCCCCCTCATTTCGGTTTAAACTCATGTAGGTGCTAGAAATGGGAAGATTGCAGCACTTGAGGTATTTCATAACCAAACAAGGAGTAGTAGAATGTGTGTGTGTATATATTTGGTGCATATGCTTTTATATGCACATATGTATCATCTATAATTTGGTTGTGTTACTAGTGGAATTGGAAATGACAGCCTTTATTTCATCTTCAAAGAGGTTTTACATGCAATTAAAAACAGTTTCTGCTAATTCTTGGGACTTCATTCTAACACAATCATATCATTACTCTTGACTCATTTTAAATATCTGGTGCAGGGTATTGAGCATGAGCTTGATGACACAACACAGTTACACGAACTATGTTCTCAATATGAGCGTCAAATAGAAGAGTGAGTCCCATTATTATTTTCTTTCCAGGTTTCTGTGATTAATTGCTCTTTCATCTGTTCAGCACTGCTGCTGGAAACTATGTAGCTATGTATTCATATAGTCTCTTCCTCACTTATGCTTTCAACTTAAAACTGTATGGTTTTAGAGAGTTTATGTGCAATAGATTTAACTCTATTTCTAGAACTATACAATCAATACAAAGGGACTGATACCTGTAGAGGAGAAGTTAATATAGGGGCTAATATCTTAGATGAAAATAAATTAATCTGGAGTCCATATAAGCAAACAAGCTTTCTCAAATCAGAGTTAAGAACAACTTGCATGAGACGTTGCAGAGACACTAAGGTTTGTATGTTTTGTTTTTGTAGTTTAGTAACATGTCACTCAAATGAAGTTTTTGAAAATTAAAATTTTCGTTTCTTTATTAAAAGTTATCTTCAAAGCTAAAGTATACTACTGTTCCATGATATGCATGACTGACGTATCCAGTAGTTTATTTGTTGTGCTTTGTTTTAATTGTTTTTTGGAATTTATTTAAATTGTTCTGCTCGAGAGTTCTCGTTGGGCAAATGTTCCCAACCATGTTTTTTCATAGAAGATGGAACCGAATTAAGAAAGGCATCTTTCTCATTTTGGATGTTTAGGATGGCTGAGGAAGCTGCAAACCTTAAGGATGAAGCAGAAGCACGACAGCAAGAAATGTCGAGGTGAGAAGTTTTGCTTCTGAATTTTTTTCCTGCAAAGTTTTTGTAAAGCTTTTCCTTAGTGGTAGTAAGTGACCATTTTATGCTTAAGCCTTGCCCTTTTTTCCCCTGCCATGTTAAGGTGCTCATGCCAGGAGAAAGAGGTTGACTGCTTGGAGAAGGATTTAGGTATTAAAGACCTGAAGGAACAATTTGTTAGCCTAAGTAGTTTGGTTGGACAACTAAGATTGCACAAGGCTGAGCTTGATCATGGGAGTAAGTCACAGGTGAGTGCACTTGGATGTGGATCAATGCTTTTCGATCTTTTGAATTTAATTTCTTCTTTTTTTCTTTTTCCGGACCTAAAGCATGTAGTGGTTTGAGGGAATGAATTAGTTGCAGTGTTCATAATGAAATACAAAATAAAATCGTTGATTATAAACTGAAAAACATGATTTCTTTTATTCTATAACCTTAAGTTACGATGTTTGCTGATCAGGGTATTATGAGTCAACATTCTGTTTCTGTTGGGAGCAATAGTTGCAAGTTAGGGGTGGACTGCACATCTGTATCAGAAAATTCTAATGCCATAAAAGTCAAAACTGCATCAATGGTGTGTTGCTCATGCAGTAAGTATTCTCTGTGCAAGACGATGAAATGCAGATGTCGATCCACCGGTGGTGGCTGTGGGGCATCATGTGGCTGTGCAGCCTCTAAGTGCAGTAATAGAGAAGCAGCAGCCCCAATCAAGTCGGATGACTCGCCACAATCAGAGAAGCCTGATGGCGGTTTGAATGGTTCGAACGTCGTTGAAACAGAGAAGAGTAGCATAGTGGCTTCCCAAGGTGCAATGCTGCTTCAGAGTGCACTAGTTGAGAAGCCTGCTGAATCAAATGACAATCTTGGGCCACGAAAGAAACCATTATCTGATATTGGGAACATACTGGTATGCTTCGTTATCCTTTTCAAGCTCCAATTTATTTCCTCAAAGAACTAAATGTTTTCTAGCGAGTACTTTGTTCTCTGCTCATAGTTTTCTTAACCTTTGTATGGGACTGTCTGCCTTTGTATTTGACAAACTTTCAGAAATGTGTTTTTAAGGTACCTCTGATTACACTCCTAATTACCATTGGCATTCAAAATATACTCTCTGCTTGCTGGCGTCTATCCCTTTGAGCATTTCATTACATTTCTCCTTGGTCCCTAATTGAAATTTTTTCAATCCTGCAGGTGAATGCAAATGGTGCAAAACCTGGCCAAAGAAAAAAGGGGAGAAAAACGGCAATCCGGCTTGTTACTGTAGACCCAACTTCCTCACTGCCAGTAAATAATGAAGGCCTAAATGAAGCCGAGGATGGAATGTAGGCAGATATATCCATGAAGTTACCAAGGGCCAATACATAATGATTATATATCAAAAGGTTGACATAGAAAGAAAAAAGAAAAGAAAAGAGAGGTCAGTAGCACTATGAATTTTTCGTTAGTTGATTGATGATCCTGCTCGGCTAGTGTAAGGCATTGATTGAGGTGAAAGAGAAGAATCGTTGTCTTTAATTTGATAAACTTTTTGGATCTATAACTAGGCTTCTATGTATGGATGAATGCATAGATTGATATAGTTGATAAATGTCAGATAGTATTACTTTTAAAAAAAGGCTTATTTGTTGAAATGCCCTCAATAGTTTCTAAATAGTCTCAGTTTGCTCTCCCTAAAGTTTTAAATGACTCAATTTCCCCCTTGAACTTCCATTCTGTTACCAAGGTTGCCACATTCCGTTAGTTTTCAGATTAAAAAAAAAGGGGAGTTATTTTTATCTTTATTTTTGACCTATTTTAAATCATTTCAAGCATTTTTTTATATTTCATTTGAATTTTTTAATTTTTAATATTTAAATTTACCAAAATACCCATGCCACTTCAGTTGATTTAACAATTTTTATCTTAAAACTAACGTAATACGACAACCTTGGTCACATAATGAAAGTTCAGGGGGGTATTGAGTCATTTGAAACGTCCGGAAACAAGAAGCAAATTGAGACTATTTGAAAACCACAGGGGTATTTAAACAAATAAGCGTAAAAAGAAACACACCAATTCACATTTCAATGCCTCAACAATTGGATCTCACACATTTGCAAATCTGATACTTAGAGCATCCACAGTGGGGGGTGGTATTTTAGGGGGTGTAAAGCCACTTTTACATCCCATTACACCTCCGGGGGGTGTAAATACGCTTTTTGCTCTATTGGGGGGTGTATTTTCGGGGGCGTAAAGCCACTTTTCTCCATTTTTCCTCTCCTTTTTGCAGTTGGGTCCCACTTGCAAGAGAAGTAAAAAAAAAATGTACAATTGCATCTAAATATACATCTCCAAGGTGGTGATGTAATTATACATTCATATACACCTCCCATTGCGGGTGATTCCGATCACAACGGGTGTATATTTAACATACACCCCCCACTGTGAATGCTCTTAGGATGTTAAGCAAGTCGTGACAAATTTGTTATTCATAAAGGCAAATGGAAAAAGTTTCCAAAACACGGGACCAATGAATTCTAGTAATTTATTATTTCTCCACCAAAAAGGCGGAAAAATTGAATTCATCGTAACAGAAGCACGTCCTCCTGCAACAGCAATCTGATCCTTGGTGGGATCTTAACATACTACAAAAAATATTATACACTTCTCGACAGATTTCGTACTCGCTGAATCCGCCTACTCCCAAGACCACGTGATGGTTTCCAAATTTTTTTCAGCTAGCACCATTTTTGTCAAACCCCTTCGGTGATTTCAAGTTTTGTAATCCAGTCGCCAAGTTGACTGGCAACGCAGGATGACCCTGTGGAACCGTAGGAGGAGAATTTCTTAACTGAATTCTCTACTCCAAGAAACTCGTACACATCCTTGTCAAACACTGGATGAATACTTCTGAGCTCATCGAGACTCAAGTCCTGAAGTTGGCAACTTTTTGAGACGCACACGGCCACTGCCCTTCCAACTATGTCATGAGAAGTTCTGAAAGGTATTGCCTGTACAAAACAAGAAAAGAAACTTCATTAGCAATGATGGACAAATTTGGACTTACCATCGTTAAGATCAGTCGATGGGTAATATATTTTTGGTACAAACTACAGACCATATGTACACACTATGTTATTTTGGATGGAAGTTTACTGAAATTTGATCAGGACCAACAAATGTTATGAACTACATGTGATGCCAAAACTGCTAAATAAAATGGGTCGTTGAGATCAATGATCTAAAGAATTTCAATAGTTCCTGAGCAAAGCAGCCGCTTATAGAACAGCATTTTTAATCATGAATGGTGATTCAAATTAAAGAAGTTTTAAGCTCGTCTAATTGGTAAAAAAAGAAGGTTGACCATAGAACTTGCCTTCTTCACGAGATAATCAGCAAGTGTTGTGGCATCAAGATGACCAGCAGGTAAACTCTTTTGTATTCTCTCCCTATTAAAAGTAACGTTCTGCGCAAACTCTGCAGACACTTCAAGCATCCCCAATATTGTCTTCACGCTGTCAAAGACAGGTTCTTTATCTTCCTGTCTCAAGGGGCAAAGAAAGAACCTTCTGTAGTCATACTCAAAATATTGCAGGATCAGTTAAAATACAATATGAATTTTTATACAATACACATGCTAGCAGAACAGGTTCTTGTATGCAGCATTGTGTTTGTGTGTCAGTAAAGTAACGTGCATGCAATGTGTAGCTAAGACCTACATTTCAGGTTCAATAACTTAAAGGGTGAAACAAACCCGACTAAACCCGTCTTTCCTTGCTGATTGTACATGAAAGAACTGATGTCCTTTGAACCCACTAAAGAGGCACACTAGGTTTCCCTTTTTGAAGTAAAAAAGAAAAGATTATACCTGCAAATCACGATTATAAGCAAGGGGAAGTCCTTTGCACAATGTGAGAAGGGTAACCAGGTCTCCTACTACTCTAGCCGACTTTCCACGAACAAGTTCCATTGGATCTGGATTTTTCTTCTGAGGCATGATACTACTTCCTGTTGAAACCTTGTCACTTGGTGTGAGAAATCCAAACTCCTCTGAAGCCCACAATACCCATTCTTCACCAAGCCGGGAGAGATGAATGGCCGTAATAGCATTTGCAGAAAGAAACTCCATGACAAAATCTCGGTCTGAAACGGCATCAATACTATATGAAGAAAATAAATTAATCAATTATTTAATGAACGCATAAAGAAGCATGGAATACACAACCCAACAGATTGGACCACAAAGCACAATCACTATGCTCATCAAACTGAGATCATTGGGTATACTTAATGCACTTGTATTACTGCACATTAAAGCATGATGAATATAAGATATACTGAACATTTGTGTTTGCCAATAGTGGATAAACATGACTGATCTTTGCTGCTGCTAATGAAAGAATGGGCAAGCATCAATAATTCTTAAAATTAAAGGAAAAAATAGCAGAGACAGAGTTCCATGCAATTTGTTGACTAGAATGGTAAGTGAACCATAGAACTATATGTTGCAAAGTCTCACATGCATTGGAAGGGAAGAAAGAAAAGATGGCATAAGGAATACCATAAAGTATTGACTAATTTGTTAACTAATTGGCCAGTCTACAACATTTTTTGCAGATTACCAATGAAACAATGACGGATCATGAAGCTCCATACTACAGCACACAAGCACATGTCAACTCCGATCCCAACTATACCAAGGGACGTACCTGTTCTTCATAGGAGCAGTAAAGTCTAAAGCAGCAGATGTCATAAACCGATCAATTGGAAGTCCAGTGCCAGCCAATGCACAAGCACCTAAAGGGCAGAAATTCAGCCTCACTCTGCAATCTAGTAAACGACCAGCATCACGTTCAAGCTACAAAACAAAAAAATGCCACAATTTATCTCTTTTAAAGGCCAAGCATATAATAAGGCCAACACAACTACTTCATAAGCACCAACATGCCAATTTTTACATGTAAATATAACCTAATCCACGAATTCATATACAGAACTATCAAGCTACTAAAAACACAAGGCCCACAAATTATATATGTATATGTTAATAAATTAAGCAAACACACTCAGTTGCAATATAATTTTTCCCTAAAAAAATTTATAGCAGTTTTTGTTTTTTAAAATCTGGGTTAAGAAATAGTAAAAACAACATATAATTATTGGAAGTAAGAGTTTATTTTGGGTACTTGAATCCAAAATGTTGCTCTTCAAGCCCATAATTTTCTCTTTGAACTTTGAAATCCAAAGTTGCCCACTAATGTAACCGAAAAACAAGATTTTTATTTTATTTTTAAATAGTTCAACAAATATCAGGCCCCAAAAAGAGTCCAGCAAAATATTAAGAAAATGGCAAAATAGTAATAATTTCCTAAAAAATGGTCATGTAGCTCCAATCGTCCTTTTCATTTTTAAGGGTTTAACTTCTTAGGGTTTATAGCCATCCCACTTCTGCAACAACATTTCAAACAATCATATATTTTCCACAAACAAACCTGCTCCACAAACGCCAAGAGCAAATGCTGAAGCAGAACAGGTTGAGCCCTCTGCAAATGCGTGTACCCAGGAACAATCACACCCTCGTTCTCCATCGCCAATTTGACGAGCGAAACCTGAAGATGCTTAATCTTCGCGCCGATGGCATCGATCGCGTCTCGGCACCACAACCGAAAATCGGTCAAGACCTGGTCGTTTCGGCTCCGAGCTGTGTGGAGCTTCTTCGCCGGTTCGCCGATCAAATCGGTCAGCGCCGCTTCGATGTTCATGTGCACATCTTCTCTGTCCGTCCTCCACTCGAACTCGCCGTTCTCGATTCGCCTCTCGATCTCGCTCAGCCCTTGGTGGATGCTATCCCGGTCGGGAATAGTAATCAATCCCTAAAACAGAACAAAGAACAAATATTTCCCGTAACCAAACGGACCCCAAAAACTCAATTCATCAAAAAAAAAACCCCACAAAAAAAAAATTTGTTTACCTGTTTGGCTAGCATGGAAGCGTGGGCCTTGCTGCCCAAAATGTCCTGCTTGTAGAGAGCTTTGTCGTAGGAGATGGATTCGGTGAAGCGCTCGACGGCGTCGGTGACGCTCTCTTCGAAGCGGCCGCCCCAGAGCTTGGCCTCCTTGGGCTTGGGCTCTGCGGATTGGGCTTGGGCGGAGCAGCGGACCTCGAGCTTGGGCATGGCGATTCTGGGGCCGGGAAACGTCGTCGTAGGGGAGGGTCGAGGGTGCTTTGGGATGAAGTGGTCGTCTGAGGGAGAGCAGAGTGAGAGTGAGGAGTTGAAGACGGCTAAAGATTCCATAGTTGGGTGGCTCACGCACTCACACACGCAGAGAGAGCTTCAGGCGCAGTTAGTTTTGTTTGTTTTCCTCGTTTTTTTTCCCTGGTTGCTCCTATGTGGGCCAATAATAATAAGAATAAATTAGGCCTTTTGCTATTGGGCCAAGGCTCGGCCCAAAATGGTTTTGATTGCTTGTCTGTCAGCCAATGGCCACTGGCAATTGCCAAGCTGGCTTCTAAGTTGGGAGTCTTTGGTTTAGGGAGGTTCATAAGTTGTGGGTAATCTTTCGAGGGAAGATGACTTGAAATATAGACGGTTTCGACATAAGACGGCATTGTCAGATAAGGAGAGAGGAGAAGGTAGACCTGACTCATAAGATTAAGGTTCTACTCAACTTGGGCTCAAACATTGGCTGGAATAGAAAAAATAAAAACTCACACATAATTTTAAGCCGAAACCGTATGTAACACAATTAAGTGTAGTTAATTAAGGTGCATAAAGCCCAATCAATTCTTGATAGCGTTATAATTTGATTTTCCACAAACACAAATATAATGGGTTTTGTTGCTAAGTGTCCCAGTTTAGGGTAATGGGCAGAAATCTCAAGGGTAAAAGTCACTAGCTACCCAGTTTAGGGTGATAAGCAAAAGAAAGTTTTTTTTTTTTTTTTAACAACACGAATTCTTGGATACAACCTAACCCTAAGCAGTCAAAGTTAAAAGTATAGGTCACACCCAAGGGGGTGGATCTATATTTTAGGAATAACTTGGACATGCCTCTGAAAAGTAAAAACATCAGCTACAAAATTAACTTCTCTAAAAATACAGTGAAAACAAATACTCTCAAACGACCATGCTAGGTTATGAATATCTTGACAATGGTGGGAATAGAACAAGTCAACAGAAAGTTAAAGTCAAACCACACACAAGCCTGCACCATAATTTATATAAAACAAGGTGTCAAAAGCTAAAATACAATATATACAACGCGTCATATAGATATATGATATTTATTTGTATATCTCATGCACAATCCTATTAACTATAATATTCGTGTATACATTTTAAGGGGTTTGTAACTCAAATAGTTAAGAATATTTACTCTTGAATCTGATATCCTAAGTTCGATTTCCCTCTCTTTTAATATTGCTCGTATAAAAAAAAATATAATAACTATATACATTACTGTAGTGGTTTAGAACAATTGCTTCCTCAGGTAAGATCCTGGGTCGAGTCCTAGCATATGTATAGTATATATTAATTTAGTATATTATCGTCTCTTTCAATAAGAAAAGTTCTGAAAAAACAAGGTCTAGTATGAAAATAATTGACGTGTTCTTCAAAAGAAGGTTTCCAAACGGATGGATTTCAATAATTTCATCATACGAATACGAATACTTGCTTATCAAAATAATCAAAAGTCTACAACTACAACTGTCTATCCAAACTGGAAACAGATCCGTATGTCACTATTGCGTGCAAATATTTTGTGAGTCCTACCAGTGATTTCTGTCAATTTTTAGTTTCATCCCTCCTGTTTTTTATCTTCTTCTAAAATAAATTATATTATTAATTCTATTTTGTGACACCTAGCATCTCATTAGGGTCTCATCACATCACACGATGGGATTAAGATCGAACATGCAATTTGGGGGCCATTTGTGTAATTCATGCACAATCTTCTGCCATGTGTATCGCTGCCGTTGGTTACTTTAACCAGCACCAACCATCACTCTCATTGGATCGTTGAAACCCCGTCAAATCCTAAGCTTATTCCATCAATTTGTCTCGTCCTGTTTTGGTGACACCTATATCAGATTAGAGAAGGTTCTAGGGTTTACAGGCTTTGTAGCTAACTACAAATTGTCCCTATCTTTGTTCTTTGGAAGTGGACGACGAAAGCAAACTTGGCCTCAATAATTTTAGTATGGCCATGAGATTTGGTTGGCCATAAGAGCTCGTCATGTTTTATAATATTATTGGGGATTTATAAAATCATTGATTGCTTTTTTCTTCTTTTTTTTTTCACTATCAAATTAAATAAATAAATAGGTAGTTTGTCGTGGAGTAAACTATTATTTAAGAGAAAATTCATTGTCAATTCTTTTTGTAAATTTTTAATTATGTCCTTGGACCTTGTTTCATCATCAATTCTCTCCTAAGTGCATTCGGGACAATATTAAGATAATCCAATTTGACAAAAAAAATTATGTCCTTGTTTCTACTTGCATTAAATGAAAGAGTTCAACAATAATTAACAATGAATTCCTCGGTTTTTTTTCCCTCTTCTCTCCATGCATAGCATTTATAGGATTGCTAGTTTATATATAATGCAAGAAAGATAGCTAAGTACATGCATTAGTTCGAAAATAAAATATCTCATACATAAGCCTCCCCTGTAAAAAAATTAATAATAATAAAAAATTATATCCAATAAGATAGTAGCAAAAGAGAATTTTACTTTGTGGTAGGAAGGAAATATTCACCTCCTATTTTTGTAGAGAGATTTGTCCACAAACGAAATGCCAAATGTGAGTTGGATTCTATATAAAGAAACATTAAGAGCGATTGGAAATATTGCCGACGAGACGTGGGCCTCAAAAAAGGGATGGCAAAACTTCATGGAAAATGCAAAGACTAAAACAAGAAAGAGTATTGTCATACTCGTCAAATTTGTACACCACAGTTTGTTAGGGAATTCAAACAAAGAATCTCGAACGCATTAATAACTGTTTGGAATCACTTAAATTACAAGCGATAAAAAGATCAAAGAAGTTAGGTGGTAAAAATGAAAAAGAAATTATTGAAAATGTTTGTACTTTGTTTGGCCTTAAGCCTAAAGTTACGAAGGGGAAGGATATCCAAACAAGTGGATGAGGGTTACTTGAACAACATGTACACGCAAATGGTAATGAAATTTCTAATTTAGGTCAAATCCCAAGTCTAAGTCACCAAAATTTACCAGCCGTCTCTCCATCTAACCACACCTTTTGCCTTTAGAATCCCATTCAAAACGTGAATAGGTGAATATCATACTCATTTCATTCCATTTAGTTGGCCATATCTTAACTTGATGAGCTTTATTTGGATGAGTAATCTCTACTCATGTGACCAAGAATAACAAGTAGGACTTTTGTTTGGGGCTGCTACTTGTTAATGATGTGATGTCGTTCTCAACTCTCCAAAATATTCAAACCACTACTAATTTATTGCAATGTGTCGCGTTTTAACGTATTTGTGTTTGTGGGATTATGTTTAGCTCAAATCCAATTCGTTAATTTACCATGTCTAAATATATAAACCCAAACTCACACGCAAATTTTACATGTCGCGTCATATTTCATTTATTTACCCATTTCTCTCTCTTTTTCGGTCAATTAAACACCAAAATCTAAAATATTATCAAATAATATCAAGTATAACATAAAGAATCGACCTTATAATACACCGACCCCACAACATATGTATAGAACTCAAACGATTAGTGGGGATTCAAATAATTGTCATATAAATCGTCATTTTGTGTCACCAATCAACTCTATTAATTTTTCGGAGACAATCGTTTTCATTTATTAGAAACTACTTAGACAATACGAGGAAATCTAAATATATAATTATATAACATTATTGATGTGGTATTCATGTAAGAAAGTCACTTGTTTATATTAAGGTGAGAGGGTTCAAACACAAATCCTCAAATACAGTTCTTAACCACTCAAACCACAAGCTCTCACCACTTAATACAACGTCAATTTTCTCAACACATGACTTACCACGTCAGAGATAAGCATAAGGTCGCATGCAACCTGTAGTAGATATTTTTTTGGTCGATTAGTTGGCTTAGCAAAAAAGAAAGTAACTGAATCTGGAATTTTTTTTAAATATTGTTGGAACTTGGAAACAGCTTCTAACTAGGCAAGTATTTTATTTTCCATCATCACAAATCTGACTTGGCATTTCTTTCAATTTCATACGTATATGCTCCCGTTTACACACGTGTAAGCTTATCCTTCCTCTATTTTATGAACTCGCTTGCACTACATAACAGCCCTTATCCGTAAAGTTGGAACAATCTCTTTTCCCCTTTCTGACTGAATGCAGATGAAAATTGGGTTACTTTCTTGAGAAACCCTAAAAATTAAACCTTAACTTCAAGCTTCAAGGTATATAAATTAAAGTGGCCGATTATACCTTTTCGTTTTCCGAAATTTTATAATTTTCTACTTAATACATAGATTTTTGTTTTCATTTTCGGAGGTGCTTTGAATCTCCATGTGGTCTTCCAAATTTGAATCACAAGGCAAGAATTTTGGTTTTCTCTATTTTTACGGGCTACTTGGATGACAAGAATTAAGGTGAATTTTGGCGTGGAGAAGTTGTTTTTGGAAGCAAGAAAGATCGAAATGCTCCAACTTTTTGCTTCAATTTCAGTGCTTTATTGTTTCGGAGATAGAAAATTTAAAATTGGGTTTTGGTCTATTTTCATGGGTCTGGAAATGTGAATATTGCGATTTGTTATTATTATTGTGTTTATTTCTGCATTAGAACTTACAAATGGAGCTGCTTGTTTAATTTTATTGTGTTTATTTCTGGCTCTGTATTTTCCAAAATCCATTCAACTCTTTCATTGCATTCACTGCTATATTTGGTAAAACCGCGTTTTCTTCTTTCGGAAAGTTCGGTTTTTGACTAGCAAGATTTTCTGGGTCACATTCGGTTTGTTCTTTTTGAGCGTCTGTATTCATTGAATGTTGCAATTGTTAGACTTTAGACCTTGACCTTTGTTTGGTTGCCCAGAAAACTGAATAGTATAAAAGGGAAACATTGAATTTCTTGGTAATTTGTACGAGAAATAGGACCGTTTTATTGACTCAGCCAAAAGAAATGCACTTTGCTGATGCCAGTTCCTGTTTCAGTTTCCAAGCAAAAACTATAGTCATAGCAGTATTTTTCTCTTCTTTTCATCTCATTTCTCAATAATCAAACTTGCTTGATTTCCATAAAGTCAAAGCTTTTTCTGCATATGTGTTATGAAAGTGAGCAATTTCCCTTTTCTGTAAGTGTCAACAGCATTTATTTGTTTCATTGAGCTTGCATATGCTTTTTAATTGTATTATTAGGTTTGTACTATTTTCATCGGTTAATTCTCTTCTTATAAACTTCTCAGGAACAAGCAGAAATTACCCAACATATTGTCTGTTTCCACTTCCACTGGTTGGGCCCGAGATACTTGGTGCAACTGGCAAAAGATCTTTGAGTGAGAAAATGGCTGTGGCTTTTACCCAGCTTTCATGGTGGTTGTGGAGTGGAAAGCAGAAAGAGCCTAGAATCTCCAATGCATCCTCTTTAAGTTCTTCACCCGACCCTGGCATGTGGGAATCTGATGGTTTAAAGTTTCCTTCGGTTAAGGGGGCCAGTATGGCCTCATCATCATCAAGAAGGGTGAAACGCAAATGGCATAGTCGGGAAGAACGGAAAATTGATAGGGAATATGATCTTGTTCTAGTTCCATCTGAGGGAGGATGTTTTTCTGGTTCTGAGTCTGATGACTCAGATTGGTCAGTTGGATGGTTGGAGCCTCATGGACCTGAGTTTCGGAGTGATGATGATACAGACGATAGTTTTGCTGTGCTGGTTCCATGCTATGGGCGTGTTATTCATGATATGGTGAAGGATCCAAAGAGCAATATCTTGAGCACTGTTGGGAACATCCCAGATGGTTATTCCGATGGTAAGAGCTTCTCTTATATGCCTATTTATATCTGTTTACGAGAAAAAATTTCTGGCAATTCTTTTATATATCTTGCTTGATGAAATACTATAGTTGATATGAAATGTTCAAACCAAACCTTCGTTTTAAATTTTGAATACCTTTTGATTATTAGCCACCTTTAGAAAAGGGGTTTTTGCATCTGTTGCTTTGATTTCACAATCGCTCTGCAGCCAGTTCTGGCTACAATATGAGGGTCTCATACTCCCCTCATTGAATGTGTTGCTAATGATTTGTTCTTAGGGAAAACATTGACTACAGTTGGTTCAATTATTACTGCCATTGCTTCTGGTATATTGTAATTTAAGTGAGGATGACAAGTTATAGTCAATTATTCAGTTAAGGATGCAGAATTTTGATGGCTAGAAGTATTCTTTTCAATCTATTTAATGATCATCTAAAAATTGTGGACTTGCCTTTTCAAATAGCGATTGAATATTCGAGTGGGAAAAGTTAAGATGCAACAGCCTCTTTCAAAGTGCTGATGTGCCAGCCATGTGTTTACTCAGTTAGAGCAGCATAAATTTTGGTTTAAGGACAGAGTTGGACTTGATAGGCCATTGACTGTTTTAAGATATTAAATTCCATTTTTAGGTGTGAAATGTGTTTTAATGTTGTTTTTGTGTTAAATACAAAATGAACTTTTTCTTCTCTCTCAATCTCCCTCTCTGTGGGTAGGAACATGAAAGAGCTCATCGAAGTTAGTTATTGAACTGTTCAAGTTAACATGATTGTGAAGGAAGAACTGTCTAATTTTTGGAATATGGTATGTAATGGTAGAGTCCATCCTTAAGTGCTAGGCAGTAGATAGTTACAGCGTATACAATTGGATCTTAAGATCTATATAGGATTGGTGAAAGTTAATGGCTGACATTTTGCTCAACTTGGTGAATCTTGACTTTCCCTATTCCTTTCATGTCACAGTGTCAGTGTCACTTTTTCCAGATATTCATGCATATTTTGTGTTCACTGAATTTTAGTAGTCATTATATTGATGCTGCGGTTCATCTAAAACTAAGTCAGTTTTAAGTGAATCCTAAACGGCAATAAAAGGAAGTAAAAACTCAGGAAGTGACTTTAAAAGAGATGGATGCATGGTCCCAAATATGTCTTGAATTTTTTTATAAGAAACTTTCTGCATTCCAGAATTTCTTATCCAGTTTGCAGTATGTGATTTGGAAACTCTTATATGTTTAGTATATTTTTTTGGTTGCTAAATTTATAAGTTTGGCACCTGTTGTAGTGGTAATGAAGCTCTCATTCTTTTGACGGACGATTATTTGTATTGGAGTAGTTGGGGGAAGGGATATTCCATACAGTTGGTTGAGATATCCCAATGATAAAAGTTTCAATGTTCGGCTCTTATCATAAATTTGTTTGAATAGTCCTTGTTCCTTCCTTGCATTGGTATCTTGAGTTCTCAGATATTCAATAAATTGAATTGGGCATCATGAATTCATTGGTATTATTTTTGTTCCTATTTCTGGTGGTTACCAGGAAGTTAGGTGCTTCGTTTATTGTTCCTTTTGCTTTCATTATTCCATTGGAATTGCATACTTGCTCTGTCTTATCATGTCTGTTGATTTCCTGTTTCTTTTGTTTTTGTGTGTTGTTAAGTCGTGGTATCTGTAGATCTGTAGATTGGGCTATTGCTTGTGGCAATTGTAATCCAGGTTTTGAGTTATGGGTAAAGGCTAAATGTATTTCCCGAGTAAAATGGACAGTTTATGCTGACTTGTTCTCTGCATTTTGCTCTCTTGTGCAGAAAGCAAGAAATATATGGAAGAGTGGCTCTCTTCTCTCAGGAACAGCTGAAGGCAGATTGAAATGGATACTTATTAGTAGAAGAGGACTGGCTAATGTTGGTCCAAGCTAATATAACTTTGAGTAGTAGACATGGAGATTTATGAAGGATTACTATTGCTAGAAGGTGGTCTGCTTTCTTGCTGGATTTGCCTTGGCCTTGGCCAGCAAGGAGTTGGCTGCTTCAAAATTTAGGGTGGTACCGTGTGACACAAGTCAATAGCTAAAAAAAAGAAGAAAAAAAGAGAGGTAATTTTGGCTTGGGAAACTTTTAAGAAAATGAAGAAAAATGAAAAAAGGGAAGGAAAAGAAAATATAATAGGTGGGATGTGTAAATTTGCCTTACATGTGATTCTTGGATGTAAATAATGCTGAACGTACGAGGGATAGGAAGCTTAATGCTTCTTCCTAATATTTGTTGTAAATAATCTATGAATATTCATAAAAGAAAAATTGTAAATATTATGTGAAGAGAAGAAACCAATGACTCTCTGAGAGCATCATGGTTGATGTTATTGTAAATAACGTGTGAATAATTTATATTGTTGTAAATACTTTTCGAATAATAATAAAAAATTTGTAAATATAATATGAATTTCTCTCTCTCTCTCTCTCTCTCTCTCTGTGTGCAAATATTTTAGGATTGAAACAATTTCATTCAAAATATTATTGGTAAACCTCATGTGGTAGTGTAAGACTTTTGTGAAATTGGCCTTTTGGCCTTTTGTTTTTCGAAACAAAAAGCGTATTGGCATATAGGCTTCATGCAGAAGCACTCAGAAACAAATACTTAAGATCACCTTAGAATTATGTGGATATTTTCCTCAGGTTCTCAGGATCACATTAGGTCATGTAGATGTATTCTGCACACTATATAGTTTACATAATTAGATAATAATTATAAAAAAATTTGACACCTTGAAGGATCAAATTGATACCAAGAAGTGATCAAAGTTAACATTATTCAAATAAAAACTACAAGGACTTGATTTAACCCAAGAGTTAGTTTGTAGGGCATTATTTGGTGGTCATGGGTAACTTATTGGAGGGTGAAGGGAAAGTTCAAAGTTGTGCCTTTTTCTCACACTCAAAGTAGAGATACCTGGTCCCTTCAATTGGATTAGTTCTGACACTTATAATTTGTAATGATCCAAGACTTTTTTTTGGATTTATTAACGATATACCGTTCATGAAATTTGAGTTCAAATTGAGTGTCACTAAACTAAATGGTCATTGACGATTCAGTTGACAGACTTTTAGATGTCACTTGAATATCATCAGCTTTCTATAGAGAGCGAGTATGAGGTAAGATTTAAATGTGATGACTGGAGCTTTTTGCCCATTTCATCAATTAATTAGAAAAAATGTATAGAAATGAAAAAAAATTGAAACATGAAGACTACAGGGTATTATGGGTATAATTTCTCCTAGAAGATTTGCCCATAAGCTCAAAGCTTAGTTATAACAGCAATAGTAACAGTCACTATATACGCGTATGCAGCTTGAACTGATGAACAGAAGATGGCATTCTTTCAGAAATAGCCAAAAAAAGGGAAGATTATCTAATAAAGAATCCAGCTTGTATTTTCCAACAAAAGTTAGGCAAAACAAGAGAAGTATCCAAAACTTTTCATGGGCTCACACTCTTTTTCCTGGTTACAACCAACCTGGCAAACTGAGAGCATGCCACGTGGACAGCCTCACTGAAGGCCTTTGCGTTTTTGAGCTTTTCCAACACCTATAATCCAGGCGAAGCATCCTCTCCTCCATGTCTGGTCCTTAACAGGCCATTTGTCAAAAACTGTATGTGATGTTCTCTTAATTCCTTCAATATTCATGACTTCATATTATTCTTCTGGCTTGCATTGTGTGATTTGGGTTTTCTCTAATGGATTGAATGAAAAAATGTCTTTGTGGGTTTTGTGTTCATAATGATTGCTTTTCTTTAGAGAGAGAGAGAGAGAGAGAGAGAGAGAGAGAGAATGTTGCAGAGAGCAGCAAGCAATGCATATTCATGGTGGTGGGCCAGCCACATCAGGACAAAGCAGTCAAAATGGCTGGAACAGAACCTTCAAGGTATGTGTGTGTGTGTATATTGTCATAATATAAGTGAGATCAGTGTTCCTGTTGATCTGTAATTCATCCAATCTGTTCTTCCTTTTAGATTTGATATCTTTTACCCACTTTTTCCATTGATGTGATAAAAAGAAAGAGGACAGTAAAAAAAATTCTTGCTTTGTTTTTTATTTCTTTTCTTTAATTTCCCTTTTATTGGAATTAGTAGGTTATTTAGATTTGCTTCCACATCAATAAAACCCTATGTCCCATTTGTTGGAAAGATATGTACTGTTGCAGCTAGAAAATGTTTGATAAATTTTCCCAAAGAAATTTTTAAAATTGCTAACAAAAACATCTAGGAAGAGGTACATGAATGAAAAGGAGAGCATGAAGATAAAAGAGTAACCATGTAGCTAGGGAACCTGTAATGATTTATAACAAGAGCACCAGTTTTAAATTTCCCCCATGAATTCAAAGAACATTGTTATTTTTCTTTTACAGTGACTATAATCACCTTCCAAATCTGTGTACTTTTTTAAATTTTTTATCAAAGAGAAGAATTTCATTGAACTTGCAGCAACACTTACAATAGAATCAATTGGCCAAATCTGTGTACTTAAAACTTCTTATAAGTGCATTGTCTCATAAGCTAAACTGCTGCTGTACATTGTGAATTGAATTCCCCAGTTGGCTAATTCTGTGTCTGCTTTGTAAGAATGTGGTTCGTAGGAAGAATAAACATTTACATATTGGGATTATACTAACATACAGACATGTCTTGAATTACAGATATGGAGGAGAAAGTTCATAGTACACTTAAAATCATTGATGATGATGGGGACTCCTTTGCACAGAGGGCAGAAATGTATTACAGGAAGAGGCCAGAGCTAGTGGTCTATGTTGAAGAATCGTTCCGGGCATACCGGGCTTTAGCAGAGAGATATGATCACTTGTCAAGAGATCTGCAGAGTGCCAACCGTACGATTGCCACAGTTTTCCCGGAGAGAGTTCAGTATGCAATGGAGGATGAGGATGAGGAAACTGCTTCTCAATCATCGACTTCTTCCGATGATCCCAACAAAGCCTCCACAGATGAATCCAAACAAAGCATCCCAAAAGTTCCCAAGTTACCAAATAAAGATTTCAGGAGCAAATCCATGTTAAGGAGGGGGCCGCTTAAGAGAAATACAAGCTGTTTTAAAGCTACCATAACTCCAAGGTCAGGGCTGACCAAAGATGAGGCACTGGAAGAAATTGATAAGCTTCAGAAAGATATTTTGGCCCTACAAACTGAAAAGGAATTTGTAAAGATCTTGTATGAACGCGGATATGACAGGTACTGGGAGTTTGAAAACGAGATTACTGGTAAGCAAAAAAGAGTTTGCAGCTTACAAGATGAGTATGGTATTGGCACCGTCATCGAAGATAACGAAGCTCGAACTTTGATGGCTGCCACAGCTTTGAAATCATGCAAAGACAGCTTGACTAAGTTACAGGAAAAGAAAGATGAATCAGAAGAAGAGGCAAGAGTTGAGTGCCTAAGGGTTAGGGAAGCCTGCATGAAGTTTGAAGGCCTCAAAGATGAATTTCGTTCGAAAGACGCAGACTGGTGTGATCCAACTGAGGAGGATGAGGCTGAGAACATTGATTTAGAAACAAGAAACGTAGACCAAGAAAGACATGATCAGGAATTGTTGCGGTCTAAGATTTTGGAACAGCTGGATACAAGTTCAAACACCTCTATCACTATTACAGAACTGGCAGAGAAAATTGATGGACTTGTAAACAAGGTTGTGAGTCTAGAAACTGCAGTCTCATCTCAGAATGCTCTAGTAAATAGATTTAAATCAGAAACAGATGAACTTCAGGCACATATTCGGAGCTTGGAAGAGGAAAAGGAGATTCTGATGAAAAACTCGGACAGTATGAGGAAAAGGATAAAGGAGTTGGAGGAGGAGTTGCGTAGAATTAAAAATTTAAAAAGAAGTGTAGAAGACCAAAATAACAACCTCCAAGCGCATTTTACAGAAGCTAATTGTAATCTTGATCATCTCTCTGGAAAATTGCATAGTGTGAAGCATGAAGAGGAGGATGAGAACGCAGGACTATTCCAGGAAGTGAGAGCACTTGATGCCAAACCAGAAAAGGAGATTAAAGTGGATTCAGATAAGTCGGCTCCCGATGAAGATTCAGCGGTCTTGGAAGACAAAATGACAGAAGATGAAATTAAGAAAGTGGATGTTACAATTCTCAAAAATTCCGTCAAGGGTGAAGAAGAAAACCAATCTGATCCAAGCAATAGCCTTGGTTTGATGACTGAAAAGCCTCAGGAGCCAATGCAGCAGGAACAGGTTGAGAATCAGGATTTGTCTGAGACAGTAGACAGTAATCTTGAAGTTGAGCCACAGGAACTGGAACTTGCAAATGAAGGAGATCAACCAAACTGGAGGCAACTATTCTTAAAAGGGTTAGAGGATAGAGAAAAGGTTCTGCTGGAGGAGTATACTTCAATTCTCCGGGATTATAAGGATGCAAGGAAGAAGCTGGGAGAAGTGGAGAAGAAAAACCGGGATAACATCTTCGATTTGGCAATGGAGATAAGGGAATTGAGGAGTGTTGTTTCTTCAAAGGACAAGGAGATTAAACTTTTGAAGCAAAAACTGGGATCCCCAGAGACAAATCTGGATGATAGTCCTAAAACCTGTTCGACAGTATATAAGTATCCAAATCAGGAAGGCTCCCTCGAGAGCCCAACTCAAGTAGCTGCATCACCGTACTCTCCAGTTCCATCTCTAAATTTCGATAAAGAAATAGCTGCCAGTTATCTTGGTGAACAAGCAACAGAGAGATTTGAGGACTCATCAGAAAACTTGAAAGTCTCACCTAGAAAGGAGGAAGAAAAAGCAACGAGGAAAAGGCATGTTGTTAGACCCCATTCTGTTTCAGCTATTGAAGGAAGATTCCGTTCAGACATTGATGAGCTGCTGGAGGAGAACTTAGAATTCTGGTTGAGGTTTAGTACCTCAGTTCATCAGATACAAAAATTCCAGACTTCGATACAGGATTTACAGTCAGAGTTGTTCAAACTAAAGAATAAAAAGAAGCATGAAGGAGGGTCTAAACCGCAGTCTCTACAATCAGATGGTAGGCCAATATACAGACACCTGAGAGAGATACAAACTGAACTGTCCTTATGGTTGGAACACAATGCAGTACTTAAAGATGACTTGCAAGGTAGATTCTCATCTTTGTGCCACATTCAAGATGAGATATCAAGACTCTCCAATTTAGGTTCAGAAGGAGAGAAGATGGAGCTTATAAGCAAATATCAGGCCGCAAAGTTTCAAGGCGAGGTTCTCAACATGAAGCAAGAGAATAACAAGGTCAAAGATGAATTGAAGGCAGGTCTTAACCGTGTTAGAGAACTGAAGTTTGAGGTCGAGAAGACGCTAACAAGACTTGATGAAGAACTTGGCATTTCTGTGGCATCAAAGAGCATTGAACCGAAACGCTCAACTAGTAAGGCTCGAATTCCCTTGCGGTCTTTCTTGTTTGGGGTTAAGTTGAGAAGGCAAAAGCCATCAATCTTCTCATGTGCCAGCCCAGCATTACAGAAACAACACAGCGATCTAGCAGCAGCTGCACCACCACCAGAACAACCAATGTAGATGATCAGTTATATTCTACTTTTATGTTTTTAGTTTTAAAATTCATTGAGGGATCAATCTTCTATGTTAGTCATGCATAGTACTTTTGCAGACAGGAACCAGAGACAGGTTAATGCTGTAGTATTGTATTCTTTTTTTATTTCATTATCTTGTATGATATTATTCAGGATCTTCTCTTGTTTGCTTAAAATTTGTTTGGAAACTTCATCTTCCATTCAGAATTAACATGCTTATGTGGATGTTAATTTATGCAAAGTAGGCTGCATACTAAAGACTCTCGTTGCGATTTACAGTGCATCACAATTGTTGAATGTCAGTGCCTCCTACGTGAGGAAGCATCAGAAACAATAAATCATCTAGTGTTTTTTTGTTTTTTGATCAACGAGTTTTTCAAACATTGAGAAAAGAAATATCACTAGACCACGAACTACTTCGTAATAGATCATCTTTCCGGTGATTACACAAGCTGTTTGCTTCATGCTATGTATCTGTACCTTCCAACCATTTGACATTTGGAGATTTACTTCAACATAATAGTCTGAAACTGTTTTTGCTTTCGGTATATGTTGCTTACACTTGCTCACTTCTATGTCCCTCCCTCCCTCATTTGAGCAAGTAACTAATTTAAAAGTACTGCTAAACGAGTCCTTGGAAATATGTTGAAATGTTTTTGGCCCATGATCAACCTTTTTGAACAATTGGGCTAGAGCCTTCAAAACGCGTTCTTATGTTTGTGTGGCCCAAATCAAATGTTTGGATTGAAAAAGCCCACATTTCTTTGAATCCTGCTTAAACCCTAACAAGTGAGAACGACAGTCCTCGCGCTCTGTGATCTTCACTCTCACACTCTTACACTCCCACAATCCCTACTTCCCATTTCACACATTCAAACCCTTTGCCATGCCATCAATGGCTTACATTTCTCTCTCTAAACCCTTCCAATGGCGACCTCGACCCTCGAACCCTCAGACCCTCACGCTCCTCCGCCTCTTCAGCTCAACCGAAGCCGCAACGGGAGCCTCAACCGAAGCCCCAACCAAAACCCCAAACCCGCAAGATGGATCAGGGACCCCGACCCATGTCCCAAAAGCTAGGCAGCATCGAACTCGAAACCCAGAAAAGATAGAGGACATCATCTGCAGAATGATGGCGAATCGGGTCTGGACGACCCGGTTACAGAACTCGATCCGGAATTTGGTACCCGAATTCGACCACAACCTTGTGTGGAATGTATTGCACGGCGCTCGGAGCTGGGAGCATGCGCTCCAATTCTTCAGGTGGGTTGAGCGATCCGGGTTGTTTAAACACGACCGCGAGACCCATTTGAAGATCATTGAGATTCTGAGCCGAAATTCGAAGCTCAACCATGCCCGGTGTATCCTATTAGACATGCCCAAGAAGGGTGTGCAGTTGGACGAGGACCTCTTCATTGGGCTCATTGATGGCTATGGTAAGTCTGATAAGGGTTGCATTATTCAAGAGTCTGTTAAGTTATTCATTAAAATGAAGGAATTGGGTGTGGAGAGAAGTCTCAAGTCCTATGAGGCTCTGTATAAGGCTATCTTGCGTTGGGGTCGGAGTATGATGGCCAAGAGGTACTTTAATGCCATGTTGAGTGAGGGAATAGAGCCCACTAGGCATACTTATAATGTTATGATTTGGGGTTTCCTAAAGAGCCGGAAGTTAGAGACCGCCAAGCGGTTTTTTGAGGATATGAAAAGTAGAGGAATTTCTCCTGATCTTGTTACTTATAACACCATGATTCATGGGTACATTCGGGTTGATAAGATGGATGAGTCTGAGCAGTTGTTTGTAGAGTTGAAGGGGAGGAATATAGAACCTAATGTGATAAGTTATACCACCATGATTAAAGGGTATGTTTCTGGTGGGAGAGTTGATGATGGTTTGAGGTTGTTTGAGGAGATGAAGTCTTTTGGTATTAAGCCGAATGCTGTCACCTTTTCGACTTTACTGCCGGGGATTTGTGATGCAGAGAAAAAGGATGAAGCTCACAAGATGTTAAAGGAGATGGTTGAGAAGTATATTGCTCCTAAGGATAATTCAATCTTTGAGAGATTGTTATCTTTACAGTGCAAGTCTGGGGATATGGATGCAGCTGCTGATGTGCTTAAGGCAATGATTCGGCTGAGCATTCCTACTGAGGCTGGTCATTATGGTATCCTGATTGAAAACTTTTGCAGGGCTGGGGTGCATGATCGAGCAGTCAAGTTGCTGGATAAGCTTATTGAGAAAGAAATTATTTTGAGGCCTCAGAATTCTATTGAGTTGGAGCCTAGTGCTTTTAACCCAATGATTGAGTATTTGTGCAACCATGGGCAGACCGGGAAAGCTGAAACCTTTTTCCGGCAGTTGATGAAAAAGGGTGTTCAGGATTCAGTTGCCTTCAATAATTTGCTCCGCGGGCATGCAAAAGAAGGGAATTCTGATTCTGCTTTTGAGATTTTAAGGATCATGAATAGGAGAGGGATCCCTGGAGAAGCAGATTCTTACATTCTGCTCATTAAGAGCTACCTGAGTAGAGGTGAACCAGCTGATGCTAAAACTGCTTTGGATAGTATGATTGAAGGTGGGCATATTCCAGAGTCATCGCTGTTCAGGTCAGTGATAGAGAGTCTATTTGAAGATGGGAGGGTTCAAACTGCAAGCCGAGTAATGAAGAGTATGGTAGAGAAGGGGGTGATGGAGAACATGGATTTGGTTGCCAAGATTTTGGAAGCCCTCTTTATGAGAGGTCATGTTGAGGAAGCACTGGGACGAATTGATCTACTTATGCAAAGTGGGTGTGCACTTCAGTTTGACAGCCTTCTATCTGTTCTTGCTGAGAAGGGGAAAACAATTGCCGCTCTCAAGCTGTTAGATTTTTGCCTTGAGAGAGATTGCAGTGTAGATTTCTCAAGCTATGATAAAGTGTTGGATGCTCTCTTAGCATCAGGGAAGACTCTTAATGCATACTCAATATTGTGTAAACTAATGGAGAAAGGAGGGATCACCGATTGGAGTAGCACTGAGGATTTGATTAAGAGCCTAAATCAAGAGGGTAACACAAAACAAGCTGATATCCTCTCCAGAATGATAAAGGGAGGGGAGAAAAGCAGTCAGGGAAAAAAAGGGAAGAAACAAGCTTCTCTTGCTTCCTAATTTGCCATATCTCCATAATTTCTGCAAGCCTTGCAGTATGGGTTGCGGGACACCCTGAAAATCACTGGAAGAAGTTTCCCATTGGTAACATTGAACTTCTTAAACTCCCTTTTTTCTCCTGGGACGGATGCTGTGCATTTAAGAAGAACAGGAGGGACGGTGCTCAGTCAAAGTGATACTAAGCCGTTGTGCATTTAAGAAGAACAGGAGGGACAGTGCTCAGTCAAAGTGATACTAAGCCGGATTAGATATTAGCATGTAGAGTAATTAGGGAGCTTGGTTATGTGTTCCAGCGACCGTCTATTTTGCTCTTTTCTCTTAAAATTTTGGGTTAGTCTAAATTTTCCCTTTTATGCCCTCTTTCATTGTTACTTTGTAGGTTTCAAGTTGAAAGTTTGTCACCAAATTCAAATAACACAGGTCCTGTTTATAATTCTGCTGTTGTTACTGTATTCTCAAAATTGCTGTGCCATTGTATTGGGAAGTGATCTCTGACTTTTTCTCTTTTTGTGGGCAAACTGTGTTTGGTAGCCAGATGGATCATAAAGAACACAGGTCCTGTTTATAATCTTATGCATCTTTTTGTTGTTGTTTACTTGTTCCCATCCATTCCATTATGAATTTATGAATGCATATATTTAAATTGATCGATGTCAGGCTGGCAGTTAGAGTCGGGATTGGAAATTGATTTCTGGTTACTGCTAATCCGAAAAAAGATAACTTCGAATGATTTTTCTTTCTTTCTTATTGCACACTTTACCTGCCAATCTTCACTTAAGAAAGCTGTCTGCAACACCTAATTTTCTTGGCGTACAGATCTAAGTTCATTTAGTTGACATGACGAGGTTTTTGTTAGGATCACCTGGATTCTACTACTATATTGTCTTCCAGTGATAAAGGAATGAATTTTAGCCTAATATCGATCTACTGGAGGGTCAATAGGGCCTTAAAATTTATGATTCCATTAGAAGTTGGTCGTCAGTTGAGAAATGCTACAACTTTTGTTGGACATTTCTGTAGTTTTAGACCTGAACGAGTAGTTGTCTGCGGATAAGAAAGTTAGAGGACTTTCGATCAAACTAGAAATTTCATATGAGATCTCATAGCATAGAAAAGAAAGGAGAAACCGTCTGGCAACTTGAGATAGTTGCAATGCCGAAGGAATAGTAAGGACAATGAGTGTACCATTGTCATGGTCTTGCGACTGGTTTGGATGTGTACCATTGTATACAAGAGAGTATGACAACATGTAGTGGAGATCGATGGCCAATGGATGCACTCTACGTTTTTTACTTGTACTAATACAACCCTTCAAAAAATTTAAAGGGAAAAAGACATCCACCCTTTTTCTTTGTTCTTATGAAATCTTAAATTCCGGAGTAAATATCTTAGCTACAACGGGGCCTCCCCTTTAAACAAATAGAAAAACCACCCAATTCAACAGGAAGGTCAACTTGAATACTGTAATGCACTGCAGACCATCACCATTCAAAATTAACATAGATTTACATCATTGACAAATAATATCCATCCATCGTTCAACAGTGATACTATCACCATAAAAAAACTGACAAGAATTTACATTATTGACAAAGATTTTACACCACAAAAACCAACGAGCTCTTAGTCTAGTGGCACTTCTCTTCCTGATATTGGAAGATGTCCCAAGTTCCAATCCCCCTTCCCCCAGTGAGAAAAAAACAAGGCAAAAATTTACACCACAATCTTCACAAGATACTCTAACCTTGATGTCCCCCATTGATCTTAATGCCAGCCTCCTCTTTGCTTAAAACATGTTTTCCATTGCATCCATTTGTTACAGTGCCCAGAAGATCTGTCTGCTCCTCAGTTGTGCTTGGTTTTTCAGAACAGTCAACTGCAGATGGATCACCGCCTCCTATGAGCGAACACACAACCTCATTATCTTTTGCCCTTTGTCTCTGTTCACCTTGTACACCTATGACAGCTTTATGATGAGTCTCATCTCTCTCAATGTTCAATGAACTAACAGGATTCTCAGCATTAGATAATAAAATTTTCAATTCAGCTTTCTGGTTAGGTGAATCTACTTTGTCATCTTTAACTTGCACATCCTGTCCGTTCCTAGAGATAACTGCTTCATCTTGGGCCTGCATTATTGGAGTGCATCCCAACTCAGCAATTATGCTTCCTTCTTCAGTCCTAACCTCTTGCTTTGATGGAAGTTCGGCATCCAGGCTACAGCTCACACCCTTAATCTGTTTGGATAGCAATGTGCCATTAGTTGGAGTGTGCTGACTCGTCTGAGGGAGAGCTTTTGAAGACCCAGGGTGTATGGCACTAGGTGTGACATCAGTTGGTGGAGGGGTGGAAAGTGTTATACCAGCCAAGCTGGTACGCATATGTAAATTAGGATGAGGCTCTGAGTGGGTAGACACACCACCAGGTAAGGATGATTGGATAGAAGAACCGCCTGTAGGCATGATATGGACAGCATTCTTTGCCCGAGCAGCCTTGAGCAGTGATGCAGCATCTGAAGGAGAAGCAATGCGAGCCCCAGCTGCAACTGCAATGGCTCTTACCATATCATCATCATTGCAATTAGGTTTTGTTAAGGTATTCTTGGAGGTTACTCGAGATTTTGTCGTGGAACCCAATAATTCCATCTGATACGGTTTTTTTGTTGGTTTAAGGTCTTGCTGAGACTGCGGTTCTGCTTTAGTGCCAGTAGTAAGCACAGGGTTGCTAGTTGCAACTTTTCTAGCAAACTTATTGTGAGCATTTGTTCCAGCTGTTTAAGAGTAAGGAGAAAACAAGATATAAATAAACATACATAAGTACTAAAATAAAATTTAAAAAAATATCAATTAAAAATCAGAGTACATAAATCAGTCAGAAGATTCACATTTATTTCAGTTTGGCTACATCAGCTTTGGTCCATTCTAACTTAGGTGCCAAATTTTTCAGTGAAGATTTCCAAATGGGGGTAAAAGAAACAAATCCTGGTCAATAGAATCCCAATCATAGGAAAGTGAGCCTTGGATACTGCAGAAGCTACAATATTAAATACATTGCTTGACAGGTGAAGCACTTCCATATAAACTGATTAAAAAATTAAAAAAAAACTTGGCTCCTTCCTTACCTGTTAGGAGCTATTTTCTTTGTGCTTTTAATGAGTCATTTTTGTATGTGTCAGACCTGGTCTGCAGGTGCGGAGGAATTGGCTTCTTACAGGTAATAAGCCAAGCAGTGTTCTAAACTGAAAGGGTAACGATAAGTCTTCTTTAGCATTAAGAAAGACTAGGAAGTCTTTTTCGTAAGACTTTCAAAAAGTCCTAGTCTCTAACAATACCATTCAGTAATAACGAAAAGTATCCATTTTGTCATTGACCTTAATGGAAGTTGCCACTAAATTAAGGAGGAAACATGAAGTCTAAAGGTAGGACTTGAGGGTCCCCTAAAAATATCGTGGGACCTGTTTGGTCCTTTAGAAGCAACATATGAATTATTAGTACTTTTCTGTAAATTGAAAACAGCATAATGGAGGAGAGAATCACCAGTGCCAATTGTCTTAGCTGTTAGGTTTGGCATATTGAGGGCTACGGACAATGAATGACGAGCGGCCAACTGTGCTTCTGAAAGTTTACCACTCGAGTTGCCTCTCAAATTCAACTCTTGATTCCGCTTCTTAATAATTGCCCACCTCTGTAATATACACTCATCAAATTAGAAGGAAAATTCATTGGTGCAAATTCATAACTCCAAACACAACAAAAAGAAAAGAGTAAAAGTTGGAGCACAGGTCGAGTTTTAAATGAAGTACCCACTACATCAGAAATAAATAAATAAAACAAAAACAAGAAAAGATGGCAACAAATTATTTCCAAAAGGTAATAGCAAATTTTATTTTTTATGTTTAACAACCCTCATACTACATGCTTCACAATATTTTCATATTTAGGTTACAAGAAAATCCGTCGCTGGGATTTGAACCCGGGAAAACTGGGTAAAACATCTGACCGAACTAGATGACAACGGATTGCTGTAGTATTATGTTCTCTGTGCTTCCTTTACATTATAATCATTTCATTATTTATAAACACCCACAAAATGGTCTAGCCTAACCAATCAAAATCTTGCAATCATGAAAGGCACATTGAAAACAGTTTCTCATGTTATGTTCTATAAGTTCTCTTAAAAAACACTTATAACTAATGAGATTAAAGACTTGATTTACCCCTTGATAAGTCTACCACAATAGATCACATTCACAAAATTTTATCTAAAGAATAACCATATAATGTATGCCCTCAACCTAGGTTTTCCTAACATTAAATATGATAACAGAAATTCTACAATTTTCCTTATACCAGCACATTGACGCATGTGCTACACATGACATATAGAGTATAACAAAGAAGTGGAGTAATGTTATACTTTTAATGGTCGAATAAAAGAAAACACAATCAAGATAATCAAATGGCGTAATGTTCCACTTTTATTTCATTATAAACTCCATTTAAGAGCGGTCACTTTTCCACTTGAAATATTTTTATGTTAATTTATTTCATTTTTAAATGGCATTTCAAAGTTAGTTTTAAGTTTCTAAAGTCTTCTTCTACTCTTTAATGACTCTTCAGTATTTATGGAAGTCATTTGTTGTTCTACCTAAGCTTATGTAAAGCAAATTTTGATGAATGAAAATTAATTATTGCTGAAAGTGTCTTCATATCTCCATCTATACCTTCTCCTTATTTATCTATTTCTCTGCAATACAGCAACCCTGGATTATCTTTTTGTTCTTCTTTTCTCTAAACTTCTTCTGGTTACTAAAATTTATCTCATCAACCCACCATAATCATAAGCAGCACAGAGCTTATGTGGTCCCACATGACATGGTGCATTTGTATTCTTCTCTTTTGAGGAAATTCTTATGTCAATTTGGATGCGTCAAATTACAAGGTATAATATAGAAAAGAAAATGAAAAAGTAACCAAAAATCCAAGAACAAGCACCTCAGTTTCAAGAATCATTTGGGGTAACAGAAAACAACCTGAGATAGCTGACCAGCTGTTCTGCCCCCTTTGAAATCTGCTCTTAAGATATTTGCCCAATTTCCTTCACCACATTTCTGCACAGCAGCAATTAATTCAAAATCCTCAGCCTCTGACCATTTTTTTCTTTTCTTTCGAGGAGCCATGCTATTGCTAGCCGATCCATTTGCATCACCTCCATCAGCAGTTGCCACTGAAGACGTTGTTGCAGCAGGAAGGGGTTGTTTTTTAACAGAAACTGGAACTGTAATGTTCTTCCCTTGCACTGAACAAGTTGGTTCTGAATTTTCATGAGTTCTAGATGGCTGGCCATTGGGTATATTTATGGTCAATGGAGCCTCTACTGTTGTGCCGTTTTGATGACTTGAGTCACTTGGTAAACCAGAGGCAATTAGAACCTAACAAAACAACCACTCAAACAAGATAAGTTGGCTAGATCAGCGAATAAATAAGGTCAAAACAATTGAGATAT